GCGATTCATTGGGCCTCACTGTGCTACCCATGCCCGTTTTCATTCCTGCTCAAGATCCACTGCCCGGCCAGCCGGATACTCCCTTTTTTCCAGTTTGAGATCCACCACCAGGCCGGCCGGCGATTCATTGGGCCTCGCTGCACTACACATGCCCATTTTTTTCCTGCTCGAGATCCACTGCTCGGCCAACTGGCACCCCATGGAGGTCTGCAGCGCAGCGGCCGCGAGGGGCGAAACAAAAAACTACGAAGGAAACGAAACCAAAAACGAAACAAAATAACGGCAGCCCTCGTCTGACAATGTTCAACACGCAACACACCGCGAGAAACGGGCAAAATTTTTACATCCTACGGCCAACGCGATCATCAGCAGAACATTTTACATCGAACGTCTCAGAAAGCGCCTTTGCATCAAACAAACGTGGCGGACTCTCAGACCACAAGAACATCGACAGCAAACAACGCTGGCCGCGCGATGTAAACAAAATTCTACATCGCACAGCCGAAGATGCCAGTTGATCGAAAGCAAAGAGCCCGCGGCTGGTAAACTTTAGAACATTTATTATTATTATTATATTACATCAAACATCTCAGAAAGCGCCTCTCCATCAAACAAACGTGGCAGACTCTCAGACCACGAGAACACCGACGCCAAACAACGCTGGCCACGCGATGTAAACAGAATTCTACATTGCTCGGCCGAAGATGCCAGATGATTGAAAGCAAAGAGCCCACGGCTGGTAAACCATAGAACATTGTAGAATATCAGACCTTGCTGCCATCCTGTCTGACGTTGTCCCACGTTAGCAATGTGTAAGTAACTCCGCGGGATGGACCAGTGTCGATTCTCTAACCACATCACAGGGTCAGTGCCATCTGGGACTTCTGGTGCCAATCTTGCAATCTGTTCCCATGCCAGCGCCTGCCACGGCGTTTGAAGTAGTCATTTGACAAACTCCCACACACTCATCAGCGGACTGAAATTGGGAGAAGACAATAATTAAACTATACAGTCTGTGTACGGACACATACTTTCCATTGGTTTCCATTGGTTTTCTGAATGTTGCAACCTGTTGGGGGGTGTGCTCGAGATGACTCATGCTCTGCCAGGTGAGCAGCTTGACCAGCAAAGACGTATCCGGGCATGCACCGCTCATGGGGCAGCGCATCACTTGCTCTCAAATGTGCGCCCGACCACCAGGAAGAGCAGAAGGATGGTGTTATGTTAACCCGCCTCTGCAACTCATCGGGGATTTTCTCACCTTAGGCATAGCGAAAACAATGTGCACTCTTGCGCCTCATGTCACCATGAGGATTGGGGCATATCATCACAATTGGTAGTTCTGTCTCTCTGCTAGGTTCACTTGCCTCCAAGAGACAGCTATACGCTCTTCTCTATCTGCTATGTGCATTGAGGACTGTAAAGTCGTAAAAGCCTATCTGCACTCTAGAACAGGGTTGAGACTCTGCAACACCCCTTTATCAGAGTAAAGCTACGGCCAGTCCTGGTTGCAAACACCACGGTCTGTGGCAGGCTCACCATGATGAGATGGCTTCAGCAACTATGTGTCTGCCAGATTGCTGCACATTTCCCATCTCTAAGTGCCTGCCACCAGGGACAATGGGTGCCAAAACACTCCGAACGCGAACATTAAAATAATATTAAAAAAAACTCTGAAAAATCTGAAAAAAATGTATGTTATGTAAAATAAATCTAAAATTTAAATAATAATACAAACAACTTTTGCCTGGGCGGCATGTTCAAATTCTTCGCCAAACACGAGTTAAAAATAAAAAACAGAATTAAAAAATCAACAACAAAAAATTGCAATCAGAGTCTATCAGACTCGTCGCATTCACACTTTTCATGTATGTAAACAGCAGCACAGCAAACTGGCGACATGCGCCCACTCAATACGCAGAGATATGGCACCCAGATAAGAGTTCACTTTCACCGGCTATGGCGACTCAGCGCCCAACAACTCACTGTTCACACACACTGGATCACCCTGGATATCCCACACGCATCACTCTGCACACTCACACAACACACACACACTTCACTCTAACCTACAGCTATAGCAACTATGGCTGCCTCTACCCTCTCGCTATGCTACGCTCCTGGCCCACTTCGACTTCGGGCTGCTGCAGACCTCCTTGCACAAGCCGCTGAGGCAGCGCTTCCGCATGGCTTCCGCAGGAATGAATGAATGGCTGTGCGCGGCCTCTTGATTTATACTTCTGTGGCTCGTCGACCTGCCCTGTTCCTCTGGCCCCCGGTGCACATAGTCCCAGGCGGTACTTGCTTGACTGGACCGGACTGACTGGACTGGGACTGCTGACTCTGCACGGTGGACCTCCACCACTTGCCCAGACCTACAGTGGGCTGACTCCGAAAGGCCACTTCTAGAAGCATCTACTTGGCCTTTCGGTCCTGTAGCAGCTACGACTTTTGCCCTTTCAGGTAAGTAGCAGCTACGACTTTGACCCTTCGGAAAGTCTACAGCTAAGACCTCTGGACTCTCTACTCCTACCTGACAAGTCCGCAGTTCGAGTCCCCTATACCCTGTAACCTACGATGACCTACCTACCACTGGCAGTCCTACAGGTCGCAGGTTCAACTCTACGGGTTGACACAGGTACTGTACACAGGTAAGGTGGGGACTTGGGGATCGAGCCCTGGGATCTGCATCAGCTACTGCGAACTGGTGAATACCGTTTCACTCCCGCCGGCCTAAATTCGAGGTCCCCCGAGAATATTTCAGTCCAAGGCAGGACCTTTACCCTTTCTGTCTCTTTCGTAGGCCCTGACTATGTCGGGAGCTGTTTCTAGAAGTTCAGTTCTGGGGAACCACCGGTCGTCTTCTGGTTCTTGATACATAAATCTAACTTTATACTGTTTTTGAGGACGACCTCGACCTCCGGTTCTAAACACGTCTTCACCTACAATGCCGTCAATATCGTACCTCCCGTCCATGTCTGGAGGGATCATGGAACGTCTAGATGGAAACTGGTCACTTACTGTGCATGGCAACAACTTTGACGCATGGAAAACTGGGTAGGTGTGGAGGTGTAGTGGGATTTCTATTGAGTAGGACGGACCATCTGCTCCGCCCTTGACTTCTAGAACTGGCCACGGTCCTCTATACACGGGCAGTAACTTTTGCGAGATGTTCTCCTCAGGAGCAAACTCTTTAGCTTTGACCCAGACTAAGTCGCCTACTTGGAACTGTGAGGGGCGACGATGTTTGTTGGCTCGCTCTATCATCCTATGTTGGGCCTTCCTGAGGTTCTCTACAACAGTAGCTAGTTCTTTCTCGTGCTGTATGGCAAACTCCCTAGTACCGGGCGGTAGCCTATGAATCTGATCCCGGTTAAGTCCTTCAAACAGTCTGCGCGGCCTAAAGGACTCGTGCAGTTCATTGGGAGTGCGGCACGTAGACAAATGCACACTATTGTTGTAGGCACTGGCTACCTTGGGGAGCATCTCGTCCCAGTTAACTTGGTCTGGCCTAATATACATTCTCAGAACTTGCTGCAGGATCTTATTCATCTGTTCAGTCTGACCGTTAGTCTCTGGATGACGGCCAGACGACATGAGCAACTTAGAGCCATAGACTCTCATCAGCTCCTGCCAGTTCTGACTCGTGAACCGGGTGTCTCTATCACTAACTATAGATAATGGGACCCCGTGTTCACTGACCCAGTGATCGAAAAACTTTTGGATCACTAACTCGGTCCGCACCTCTGAAGGCAAAGGTATAAAAACAGCATACTTGCTAAATCTATCGACTATCACCATAACTTGGCTCTTGCCATGCCTACTCTTGACGCCCACGTCCATGAAGTCGATGGACACTGAATCCCCGGGGTGATCAGGAATAGGCAAGGGTCTAAGAAGACCTAGCGGAGCACGCGTAGTAGTCTTATTCCGCTGGCAAACTTTACAACTGCGAACATACTCTATGCAGTCATTGTTCATCCCTGGCCAGGTATAAGCGTGCATGAGGTTGGCTAGAGTCTTTTGCCAACCAAAGTGACCCTCTGTATCGTGACATTCCCCTAGGATCAGACTACGGATCTCCTCACTATTGGGAATGCAAAAACGGTCAACTACATTAGTCTTCTCAGTTGTCAAATTTCTCTTCCTTTTTCCCACTGTAGGAATCAGGGAATTTGACTTTGACTGGCTCCCTGCGAGGACGTGTTTCCTCTTCCTTGTGTGAACAGTGAGTTGTTGGGCGCTGAGTCGCCATAGCCAGTGAAAGTGAACTCTTATCTGGGTGCCATATCTCTGCGTATTGAGTGGGCGCATGTCGCCAGTTTGCTGTGCTGCTGTTTACATACATGAAAAGTGTGAATGCGACGAGTCTGATTGCATTGGTATCAGAGCTCTGGGATCTGCATCAGCTACTGCGAACTGGTGAGTAGCGTTTCAAAATAGTTTGGCCAAACACCCAAACATGTTCGGGTGTTCGTGAAAGCTCCAAACATGTTCGGTGTGCTACACAGCCGCACAGTATGCAACCATACCCTGTGATGACTCTTTCTTCTCTTGCGCGTGCCTGCAACGAACATGCATTTGCTGTAAATCATTTTGTGGCCAATGTGTCCGGCAGCCATTGAAGTCACTGCTGCACGCATATTACCAACAGGCTTTATCGTAGGTATGTTTTGTTATCATCTGGATCATCCTTGCCGTTCCTCTCCACTCTGTCCACAAGGCCGTACTGCCTCCTGACATCTGTCCACAAGGTCGTACTGCCTCCTGAGATTTGTCGCTATTTACCACGGAACAGACAATGAGAGTACGCTTTTCAGCAGACACTGCTCGACCATAGAAACATGGCGAATTTTCTGTTCTTTCTGTTTCAGTGGACACTGGTCTTTTTCTTTCAACTTCTGCTCTTCTTCTCCATTCTTATAATTTTCCTCATCCACTGCTGCCTTCTGTTCTTCTTCTTCTCTGTCCTTGCTGCGAGCCAACGTTCTCTGTTTACTTCACGAGTGCACTCTTTGTTGACAGCTGAGTGTGAGGAGATGTGACGGTGGTGTGACAGTCTCTGAAGTTCATAAGAAAAGAGAAAGAAGGGGGGGAAAAGCATAAAATAGAGAGGAAGGGTTACATATGCATCAAGGAAGACATACATATAGACTATTATAGATCCAAGACTAAGTAGAAAGCCAAATACACACATACATATAGAGTCATTATAGACTATGACAGATCCTAGACGACATAGAAAGCCATATAAAGCACCGCTGCTATTCTTAACGAGTACATAACATACTTGCAAGCACACGTCGTGCGCGCGGCGCACGACATGTGCGGGGAACGACCCGTCACCCCCCTCCGAAACAAAAAAAGAAGAAGGCCGGGGGTTGAAAAGGTGCGTTCGAGGCCACCCACCAAAATTATAAGAGGGACGAAAAAAACAATTGCATGAGTGCTGCCTCACCTAGCTCCTCCTCCCCTTCCTCGTCCTCCATGTCTCCTCCTCCCTTCTCCTTTTCGTCTCCTCCGACTCGTCCTCCTCCTCCTGTTCGTCCTCTCCTCCTGCCCTTCCTCATCCTCCTTGTGTCCTCTTCCTCGTCTTCCATGCCTCCTCATCTCCTTCCCTTCCTCGTGTCCTCCCCTTCCTCGTGTCCTCCCCTTCCTCACCGTCCATGTCTCCTCCTCCTCCCACTCATCCTCCTCCTTCTGCCCTTCCTCTTTTCCCTCCGTCCATCTCTTCTCCTCCCCCATCTCTACTCCTCATCGTCATCCTCATCCACATCATCCTCCCCATCTCCATATCCCCCTCTCCTCGCCATTTCTCCATCTTCCCGTCATACGGCCCCCCGTCCCCCCTCCCAAAAAAAACAAAACAAAACAAAAAGAAACTGCACGATTCCGCAGCCCCCTCCCCGCCCCCCCCATGGAACTCATCACAAATGTCCGGCTCGTGCGGTTGCAAGTATATTACATAACTCTCCAATATGTAACAGTTGACCAGGACACAACAGCCATACGTGAGATTTATCGTGGACACCTCGGTGGCCCGTCAGTACCCCGACCTTCTTTTGGAAGTCTCAGATAACCTCATCAGGTGCCTTGGCCAGAGGCTGTGCGATGTCCATCCATTTCTTGGTCTGTATGCCTGTCCCTCCCCGGTTCCCTGTCTCGAAGAAGTGCTGACAAGGCTTACAATGGATTCATCTGTGGGTTGCACTGACCCTCACAATGGGATCATCTGTGGGCTAAGTCTGCAAATGGTTGGCTGCCCAAAACTGTGGCAGTCCTTTAGCAACCTCATGCATGCCACAGACGACTTCCACTATCTAATCCCTTCACAGAGCTCAACGGAATCATCTGTGGGTTACGCCAACCCTCACAACGGAACCATCCATGGGTTGTCGTCAAATGTTGGCTACCCGAAACTGTGGCAGTCCCTTGACAGCCTCCTGCATGCCACAGCCAGATTCCTCTATCTAATCCATTCACAGAGCTCAGTTCTCCATTAAATATTTAATAACATGAAAGGGGAAAGAAAACCAAATCTGCACAAATGGTAAATATTGCCCAAGCGTTCAGTTGGAAAATGGGAGACCCAACTGCAAAGAAATTACACAGTTCCAAATCCAATTTTGCAAAAGAAAGCCGGCAAACAGAAGATGTCCTCTCATCCAAAGTTTTCTGCTTACTACACAACATATCGATACGTCACGTATCGTCCGGCAGTTTCACTCGGCCTGATGATCTTCACAACTTGTCCTCTTACGAGGCCAAAGTATCGAGCGAGGGGATCGCTATGCTGCACACGTGGCAACTGCAACACCACCACAAGAGATTACAGACAACAGCCGTCAGAAGGACCCGATATCAGATGCACAAACATTCACAGAAGGTCAACAATAGATTCAGTAACCTTATAAATTCCAGACTGATGACTGAGATCCCAAGGTACTTTTTAAGTTCTCCCCTCCAACTGTAGAGTGTGTAAGGCCATTTGACTTAACGATGATGATGGGAGCCAGCCGTTCCGCCCTATCTCAGCATCTTAAACCCTTCCGATTGTGTGTCCAGTGTTGAACAGTCTTTGCCGTGCCGGGAACTGATTGAAGTCCCCTCCTCCCAGTACTGCTACCATTTCTTTTTTTTCTTTTCCCAAAAAAAAACTCCCAGCCCCCTTCTATTCTGGGGGGGATCAGTCCGGTTGCTTATCACCGGCAAGCGAAGGTTTTTGAAACAAGCAGCCGGGGGATTAGACAGAAAAGATAGTCAGCCTACCCTTGTGGCTCGAACCGTCTATCCAAGGGGGGGTTGCTCCAGCACCACCCACTCCCACCCTTTGGCCTTGCCTTAGGGATTGTCCTTCGAGTCAGGAAGCTTACTAGCAGCACCCAGGCACACTGCAGGACAATCCCTAAGGGGCCAAGGCACGGGTTGCGGGGGGGGGGGGGGGGGGGGGGGGGGGGGGGGGGGGGGGGGTCCTAGTAGCCCCTCAAGTCGCCTGTTACTTACTCGCACCTTCCCACCATGTCTACCTGAGCCCGGTGTTTCCTCTGCCTCCTATCCCCATGTCAGCTGTATCCCTGAGCCCTTTTGTCCTTGATATCCTACCTCCCCTACCATCAGGTTTTTTTTTTTTTTTTTTCCGCTTTAAACCTGCCTTCCTATCCCTAAGCCTTAAAGCACCAGTACACCACACATCGGCCCACGGGTGTAAGCACAAAACCCGCACCACTTCATCGGCCGCCAAATTGTTTTTCAACGGCGCCCCATGCTGCACGGCCCCTCCGAGTTTTGTTTGCAGCGACAAAAACTTTCTGCAAGGCTGGGACCGTGTACTTGAGGTTTAATCCTATCTACCTATGCTTGATCCTTTGTAGTATTTCCACCAAAAGTGGCCGAAGAAGGCCAAAAAAGGTCCACACTACCTTGGGTCCTGCATTATACATGTCTACACGATTGCTATGTTCTAACCCCAGCATTTTCTTGACCCCTTTTACCCTCTTACCCCCCTCTATAGCTGAACACTCCCCCTCTTGCCCCGTTCTATAATACAACTTTTTGCTTACCATTACTGGAAGCTCCCATACAACCCCGCCCATCCTTGAGCAGCTCAAGGCTGACCCGAGCAGTCAGCATGATTTTCATGAGTGCGAGGGTCTTGTATTCCGCCGGTATGGGAAGTTCGATCGTTTGTGTGTACCCAACCATGCGCCTCTCCGAACTCATTTATTGGATTTGGCACATGGTCGGAGTGGACATTTCGGCTTTGAGAAGACTTATGGAAGTCTTCTGCAGCAGTTTGATTGAAAGGATGTCAGGTTTGTCAAAGCACCAAGGTCCATAGACATAAGCCTTATGGCCTGCTGAAGCCCCTCCCCATTCCTGATGGACCTGGTGAGTCGATTTCCATCAACTTCACGGGCATGGGAAAGGTGAGCGAAGTAGGGAATTCACAAGTCATGGTCATCGTGGACCGTTTTTCCAAATTTCTGAACTTGATTCCTTTCCCTCCCCATGCCCCAACTGAGCTTGTCATCGAAGAATTTCATCAGCAGTATATTCTGCAGTTTGGCCACCCGAAAACCATTATGAGTGATCGGGACACCAGATTCATTAGCGAAGATTGGAAGGACTTCACTTCTCAAATCTACAACATTAAACTCAACAAGACTTCTGGTCGACACCCCGAAGCCAATGGATTGCCTGAGGAAATCAACCAGACTGTCATCCAGCTACTTCCCGCGTTAATTGTTCCAGAACAGAACACATGGGACAAGGAGTTACACAAAGTGACGGGGTTGTACAACAACTCCATTCACTCTGCAACGGGTGTGACACCTAATCAGCTGCAATACGGATGGCAGCTGCGCACCCCTCTCTCCTATCTGTTCCCCGAACGGTCAACTGGTCTAACACCCGGCATGCCTGGCTGCAATGCCAAGTATGCACGCTTGCTCAAAGCTGCTATCGCAGCAATGAACAAGCGTCAGCATGCCATGATCAATCATGCTAACAAGTCGCGCAAAGAAGGGACCTTCGAAGTAGGAAGCTATGTCTAGGTTAAAATGTCTGAGTTTTCTGACGAAGAGGGCGTATCACGAAAGCTTCTTCCATTGTACTATGGCCCTCGGCTGGTTCTGAAGGTGATTGGGGATGATTTTGGCCCTTCGTATGTGATTGACGTGCCTCCTCATCTGCGCACGTATCAGGTCTTCCATGCATCCAAACTATTTCCGCACATTGATGATGAAACTTTTCCCTTCGGAGATCCTATGATACCTCGTCCTATCGATGGCGGTCATGAAATAGACAGAATCGTTTCGCATGAAGAGGAGGGAGGAACAGACAGTATAAAGTTCACTTCCTCTATCACCCGTTGAACGAGTTCGATCGACCGGAAAGAGCTGCTGAAGAATGCTCCACGTGTTGTGAACGCCTATGAACGACAGATCGCTGATGGATAGACTGCTAAGTTTTCTGCAAGACTCACTCCTTATGGTATTACTAAGTCTCTCTTTTTGATCTACGCCTACGATGCTTTTTGTGCCGACTCTGAATGAGTTACTCGCTTGAAGGGACCTCACTCTTGAGAGGGGGGTAATGTAATGACCCGCCAAAAACACAGACTGAGAACACTGCTGATTTCTGGGATTTGCCGCTGGAATGAATGCCTTGTTGAAATTCCCGCATTCTGCTGTGATTTCCATGTCTGTGTGTGTGTGCGTGCCTGCTGGGTTGCATGCCTGTCTGAGTGCTTGTCTGTTGAGTGTGTGTGTGACCTGCAAGGGTACTTGTTGGTTGCAAGGCCCCGCAGGGCCGGTACTTACGTGTGGCCGTTGCAGGGGGGTAAACACTCAAGTAGCGGGGGTAGGCCCGCGACACTTAGAGCAGCGGGGAAAAACACTCAAGTAGCAGGTAGGCCGGTTCCACTCGAGAAGTGGTAGGACTGTCGGGTACTGGAGGCCGAGCAGAAGAAGACAAAAAGTTGGCATTTTTAGAGGCCCAGTAGCGGTAGGATAGAGGTAGGCCGGTACCAGTCCAAGTAGCCCTGGTCTAGGGCCTGTCCGGAGGTTAGCAGATCCTGCAATGATGTTTCCCTCCGAAAGGGAGGAGGTACCGGTTGCTGGGAGGCAGCTCGGCCTAGGAAGTCACCGCCCAGGAGGCCAGTAGGCCGCTATATCTTTTGGAGGAGCAAGTAGCTCCTCATTTGCGGTATGCAAGGATTGGCGACATGCTGCTGGAGCACAGCGCTGGCGGGTACAGCGCTGCTTGGAGGTGAAGGGCCGCTGGGGCTCAGCCTGGCTGTGGCGAGCGGTCAAGCTTGAGGAGGAGGAAGAAGGGGGAGAGGTAGGAGAGTGGCGAGGCACCTACCTGGCTATGGTGGACACCGTCTTCAACACCTTGTTGGGCGCTGCATCTGGAAGGCCCCAGTTGGGGTAGTGCTGCACCAAGGAAGCTCGAGGCAGAGTCAGGCATGGCGGACCAGTCAGCAGCAGCATAGCTGCTTTGGGTTGTCCTTTGGACATCAGCGCAGCAGCATAGCTGCTTTGGGTTGTCCTTTGGACATCAGCGCAGCACCATAGCTGCTTTGGGTTGTCCTTTGGACAGGAGGGAAGGGCCCTCATTAGTCCGCCATAGCCTAAGCATGAGAGAGGAGGCTGAAGGAGGGAAGTCATAGCTATGGTAGACTTGTTGTTGTTGTTGTTGTTGCTGTTGTTGAGTTGAGTCAGCAGTAAGAGGGAACTTCGGATATTGATTCTGGTTCATCCATTCTTTGTTATTATTATTATTGAGAGAAGAATAAGATTGGCAAAGTGAAGGAGGAGGAG